ATTTTTTCATTACGGTACATGTGAACTGTACGGAGCGTTTTGTTGCCCTCGTACATGTGTAGTAAGCAGCCGGCTGAGTCTTTGACGTCAGAGGAATGATATAACCGCCGATATTAACTAAGCAGATCATCAGCGTCAACCTGCTACAGCTGTATTCATGTATTCTGTACATCATGTACATCTGTAGTGATCCAACGTATCCACGCCCAATGTTTAACACGCCCAACACCCTTACATGTATTTCTCTTCTTTCTATACTGGACAGTCCGTGAGGAATAACGTCCAGGGAGTGCGCGAAGAACTCAGGTGCACGTTGAGCGATTGCCAGAACTTTTTCAAATGTGACGTACGTGTTCCAGAGTCGGGCCTTCTCTGGGCGCAGGCACTCCTTATGAGTGCCGACTGCATACGGATGGCCTGTTGCGAGCTGTTGTAGTTGCCAGCCGGAGAATGCGGTTTCACTTTCCTCGGGTGGCAATACAACGAAGCTGCTTGACTCATGTTTTCGAGGGACCAGTGAATTGCCTGTGCTGGTTGGACTAGTGAGTAGGTCGGGTAGTACTGCTGGGCGTAGTGCGGTACACCGGCCGCGGTTTGTTGCATATTGCTTTGTGACGTCAGGATGGCGGAGTTCGCGCGTTTTTGCCGTTGGTAACCTGTGATTCTCAGATTTCTCAAGGTGCATGGACATTTTACCAATTTAGTGGTGTCGTTAGTATGGGGGGATATGTCGCCAGTAAGTTACTTCAACACTAGATATATCGAATACGTTACCCATTTTGCCCACGGCGGTCAATATTGTGAAAAAGAGAAACCTGCATTTCTGTGTTCGATTATCTGCATAGTAGGCCGTGTATAGATGGATATTATGCTCTGTGATTACAACTCGGGATTATTTAATGTTATTTACTGTTTTAATGGTAACATCTGTGGTAAAGGTGGCGTCAAGGTTGTTATTAAGTGCTGCTACTTTATTAGTTTGCCTTGTATTCGTATTTTCTATTTTATAACAACTTGATTTTTAAGCGGTTTTTTCGTGTTCTCGGTAATATTGCAAATTATATAGAATATTGACGCATTATTTTGGTTCTATTGTGCTTACATGTGGCATTTTGTATTCTCACTCTTGTTCTGTTGTGGAAATTATCCAAAATACATTTTTACTAAAAATTTCAAATTTGGTTGTGGTATATTTAGGTGCTTGGGAAATTTCATGAAAATTTTTTGGCTTGAGCATAGAGAATATCCTCTGATACAGGGAAAATAAATTTATTTTTCGGGGCTACTTTTTAGCTCGCGTTGGCTTGATTATAGCACTCTAATTTGAGATATTGCATTAAATCTAATGCGATTTACGGGGCTCTTTTGATTTGGGGCTAAATCGCTCCGAGCCGTGTTATGTTTTTCACTGTGTCTCTTAAGTCAACCTCGCATTGATTCATATTCATATCCGCCATTAAACATTTATCATTTCACTGAGCACATACCCGTGCACATCGTGGAGGGCTAACGTTTAACGTAAACGTAAAAATTCTGAAAGTTTTGCAGCTGGAATTTCACTTAATATAACTTTTATTTATTAATAATATATTAATGATTAGTTATTTTAACTGTAATATTCTATTTATTTATAGTAATTTTATTGTATTGACTTCGCTTTTGTTAGCTCATCTGGAAATAGTAGATGGCAGCTTGTAGAATCGCCCATGAGGCGTGCGTGCGTCCGTGGTCCGTCAACATTGGCACAAATCTAAACGGCTCGACGTACGGTTCGAAGTCAGGACATGGGGGGTAATTGCCGAACAAGTTGGGATGTCGAAGGCTGGCCGGTCAAAGGTCAAAGTCAAGAGGTGTAAAGAAGGGGACTTCCATCCTTAACCTTAAGGTATAGGTGGAAATGCAGAATTGTGGCCACAATCTAAACGGCTCGACCTTAGGCCTGTGATGTCGTGTATTAGCATCTTGGTAGGAAAAACCATCACTGTGCCGAATTGGAGGCAGCAGGTCAAAGGTCAATGGCGGCACAGGCAGATTTTAGACACTCTTCTTCTTGCAGGACATGTGTTGCAGTACTCGCGGACTGAGACTCATATTTGATAATAATTATTTTGTGCTGTTTTGCCGCCTGAAGGAGTGAATGGGTGGGAGACGCGTAAAAGGACTTGTTTGGTGGACATAGTATGTTAGGGAAGGCATGTGTGGTACTTTCGAGGTAGGACATAGACGAGAGGGGTACTTGAGTGGAAGTGAGCGCGCGTGTTCTGCAGCGCTCTACGGAGAGGGAGGAAGAATTGTGAGAGGAGGCTATGTGAAGATTTGTTCAGTATATCTTACACTTGCAGGCTTCGTGGCTGAATATGTGTTACTCATGTAGGTGGTTTGAATTGGAAGAGATCCCGGCAAATCTTTGTCGTAGAAAGATTCTACCACAGCTCCGCATTATTTAAAAATTTACTATGTGCTATGAACTGTTGAACAAGCGGCATATAACCTTAGCTAGGATAATTTGATATTGTGATACCTCTGAGTAAATCTGCTGATAATATTGACGTCTTGTAGGTGTGCTATCTTATAAATGTGTTTGATACTTTTCAAGGGATATCAGATAAATATACCTAACTCGGCTTCGACCGGTGCGGACGTGTCTAGTAGTTTTTATTCAATACCTTTTGTTACATAATTCAAGTTTTTATGTGTGTGCGTCGCAATATAGTACTGTATGTGTGTTGACGTATCTCTTTTGAGCTCTATTGTGCTGTGTCACTTATTCTATCGACTCCATACCTATGTACTGAAATTGTTTTCAGATATTTGCTATCGTTTGTGTAAATTGTATCTTGAGCTGCTCTGGTTGTATCAACAGTTGTCAGCTTTTTTGTAACGGCCAGACCTGATGCCTGCGTCAAATAATTGTGGTATGGGTTAGGTGTCCCTTTAGTACATCTAGTCTGCGCTTATGCTAGCTGACGGCACAGTATGATCTTACTCGAGTGATATCTATCTGATTGGGTAGAGATTTATTACTGGCTCTTTTTCATTATATTTTCTATAGTTCTGTACGTCGCTCCTATGGATGACGTGACGGATAGCTTAGTGCGTGTCTCGTGGACTTGATATGTTATCGGCCTTTAAATGTAAGTAGCGATGTGCTCGGCTATTCTACTACGCTTGTGTTATTAGTGTTAATAATTGGTTTGAGTGTTGTTTTGGTGGTGGTTATGTGAAATAGTTACGTTCTATGTTTTGTCGGTATGGGTATTGGTAGTGGCATACAATTACACTTGTTCGAGCATGCATACACTAATGCCAGAATACAACGCCAGACTGAGCCTGATTTAGCTCCTTCTGACATGAGTTATCTATAGTATAGATGCGCGGTAGATTTTTCTGATGTGGTAGTTATGTTTAACGGCTCGCTTTGCCCACTATTAAGTACATATTCTTCTTCAGTTTTGATTGATCGTCTTTTCGGTGGATCACTGAATTATTAGTGTTGTAGTTAGTAGCCTACTTTCAGTTCATGAAAATTGCAACATATTCCAATATGCCACAAGATTAGAAATTTTCGTGGACGTAAGGCAATTTATTGCAGTGGTATTTTTGAGCGTGTATTATATATATACTTTTTTTTATCAGCGGACACGCACGTTTTGACACGATCAACACGCGCTTAATACACAGACGATTATTATCTGACGTTAATTTATCTACGCCTG